AACTCAAATTACAAGCTGGAAGATGAAATAACAAGCTCTTATCTTTTCTATTTGCTAAAATATTGCTCACGTAATAAATCAAACACAGTGTTACCCCACTCACCTCTTTCCATTTTTGGAAATGCTCCCTTATATACACTTCTATATATGACATGAATAACCAATTGGAAGCTCCAAATGTCTTCCTAGTGTTTTTTTCAGCCTTATTAACATGTTTGAATGCCATCTCTTTCTTTCGAACCAAGATTTCAAGGATTGTGTCTTTAGTCTGCATGAAATTTCATATTTTTTATACTCAAATACAGCTTAGTTACTAAACTTAATAAATTATAGTAGAACTCTATGGTATCGATATACTAATTTGATTTTTGGTTATTCAACTGTATATACATATAAAACCTAAAAAAAAACTATTTCGTTTCATATCCTCCACGTGCGAAATTTTAAAAGGCTTAGCAACCTTCATCAAGCAGCAACTGAGTACAAAGGTCATAACTAGAATAGATAATTGTTTGCTTTACGTTTTTATTTACTGTTCTATGTTTTACGAAAAGTTTAAGAACTTATTTCTAACTAGGAATAATCTATATACATATATGAAGTATAAAATGGAAGTGTGAATGTATTTTACAAAATACTAGTCTCCTAAAATGGTAAGTATATTACAACATAAAACCTACTTGGAACTGAACGTAACCTACATTTAGAAACTTTGTACTATAATACTGACCTGGAAACAGAATGACAATTTAAGAATAACCATTCTGTGGTTTTAAAGGTAGTACAGTAGTTGAGCACAAACTTGACATGCATCACAGAAGAATAACTTTTTTTGCTTTTCTGAGCTACGTAAAGTTTGTGTAACTAAAAGATCCAATAAGAAAGGTATAATATTGAAAAATGGTTTGTCTCATTATTTAATATGTGCTGTTAGTTTAAATTATTTTAAATGTTTGTGCATAGGATGTGATTGGATGTATTTGTTTTTCATGCTTTGGTTAATAGGTTTGTTATGTAGAGGAGTTATACAAAGGCCTTGTGACATTTTGAGCATTGTCCTTTAAGATAAAGTTTGAGTAAGTAAGTGCTGTTATAACCCTTTTTGGATAATTAAATGTAATTTTAACTTTAACCCTACAGTTACAACAATATTCTAAAATAATTCTTTAAGTAATTACACTTTAGAGTTTCCTAATAGAAATTAGGTAGAGATACTCTTGAACTTTTAGTTGTTTTTAATTGCATTCTCTTTGTTTTTATTATTTTGTTAAAACACGATACCAAAAACCTACTCTTCCTTCACATTCATTATCCAGGTATCAGTGAAGGTAATTACAGTCAGTCTCTTCTTTTATATCTTTTAAAACATTTACAGTGATGAACAATAATTATTAACATTAAGTTCAGGTTTTAGTTTCTTTATACAGAGTCTTGCTTTAATTCAAAGTTTTTGACAACCACACTATACAAAATTATTTTCCACTTGTTGCTCCCTCACATTCACTATTTAAATGTTGGTACATGACTGAAGAATTAGACAAACTTGGCTGTAAAAGTTTCTTTATTTGGGTATGAAGGTGGCAAATTGTTGATCCAAATAATTTCATTTTCATTGTGAACAGAGAAACTAGTATACCATGAATTAATTTTATAATTTCTTAGTTCAACCTTTTACTATGAAAAAGCTAGCAATTCTCAAAATAATCTTGAAAAAAAAAGACAGTTGTAGATTATTCACACGTAAAATCTCCCTGATTTTGTTTCTCAGTATGTGACTCTCTTTACCCTATATGTTAACAAAAAATAGTAATTTTGCCATATCATACTTCATAAGTTTACAACTTATTCAAGAATTGCCCAATAATTGTGTTAATAGCAGATAAATGAAAACCATTTTCTAATAAAAATATTTTTTTAGATTTCCAATTTCTCTGTGAAATGGATAATAATCACTAATATTAAGATAAACTCTGTAGATTAAAATATCTATTTAATTCTTATTATATTTGAAAGGTGTAAAATTGTCAGCTTGGCTAAACAACCCTGAATACATTGTTAAACTTTGAACAAATTTACAAATTTCATGCAATGATATATTGGTATACAAAGATTCTACATACAACTTAGCACAATGTCAACACTTATTTGTCTTAAGTCTAAAACACCCCAAAATGTTTGTTATTGTAAGTTCATCCTTAATAAAAGACTGCATAAAAAAAGTTCATAAAAGAAACCTAGCTTATATCTTGATTTAAAGTTCTACCATTAGAAACTATGGGTCTTATAGAACAGTCTTTCTGATATATTTTTGGTAAACAACATGAAATTCCACAGAGAGATCCAGTTGGTTTAATTTTATTATAAATTATATCATTAATAACACTGTTTGTTTTTTTAGCTTAAATCAATATGTTTGTAGTTGGCCTTCTGATTTTATGTTTGGATATTAACTTAATTCGTGAAATTTAGTTGTATCTACTTGCACTTTTAATACTTTATTTTCATAATTACTTGCATTCTAAAGAACTGTTTATGTAACCTTTGTATGGTTTAATAAAAAACTATATAAAGTTGTTACTGTGTAATTAGTTTTTAAGTGCTCTAATTTATTGTTTCGGTACTCTGTATGTAGCAATATCCCCCCCCAAAAATATAATTCAGGTTTTATGGGCCTCTATAAAAAAAAGTGCCTTTTTTAACCTTAAAAATTTAAGTCAATTGCTTTGGGTAGAGTGCACTGTATATTTGCACGTCTACTGGAATTTCCTAAATTAGTATTACCAGAAAAGATATACATGTACTGGGTGTTTTGATGGTAATTCTTCCTCACTTGCATTTCTTTTTTTAGTAATAAGTATACATGTAGTTTAATACATCTACTTTTCCAGATTAAAGTATTGGAACTGTACAGTAGCATTGCTTAAATTCCTCAATAGCTATATCTAGAATCCTTCAGCAATATATATGTTTTTCTTTTTTCATCACTTTTTTTTTTTATGTTTTTCAATCTACTTTGATACTAAAAATTTTGTGCATAATGAAGAACACATGACTGCTACTTTTGTAAGAAAAATATGCATACATTATACATGTATATCAAATTTAGAGACTTCCAACCAAAAATATAAAAAGAAAGCTAACAAATATACAATTTGTTAAGAATTATTTAAATGATATACCCACACAACGTACCCTGTTACAGTGATGAATCTTATTTTACTTCCCACAGAAAAATACTTTAATACTAACCTGGTAAATTTTATTCTTTTTAGTTAATTATAATAAAACCTAGAGATGGTCTTACTTTTTTAGTTACCAAAAAACAAATTCTCCAAATTAATAAAAATATATGTAGGTACAGAAGCTTATGCTTGAAACTAAAGTGCAATATATAGTGTCATCAGTAGTTACATGTCACTGTAAATATCTTACACATATAGTTCGTAATTTTTAACACATAATTTATTTTGATATTCTTCTTATTTGTTTTGCATAAGAGACAAGTAAGTAATATAATTAAAACATAACACCATATTTGATATACTTATTATGTATTGTGGATTGAATGCTTTTAATTCAACTTAATTTTATACTTTTGCTTCCAGTTTCCCATTCTTTATTCTTAGTGAGTGATAACTTAATCTTTTTTACGTTTTACATTTTTCAAAACATCGCTTGCATGTTTTTTCTTCAATTATTATTTATTCAGCATGTGATGCATTCTTATCACTAGCTGTACACAACCATGATGCTTACATAAAATTGAGCATAAATTATGCATTTTGAAACTACTATATGCATTTCTGGCTTGCCATTGCGTTTGATATATGCATTTCGTGTGGCAGTGTGGTGTTTAATAATTATATAAAAAATGTTTGAATTATCTCCTGCTTCTGTTGTGTTTACAGTTTTGATTTGAAAATGGTGTTCATACTTACTAGTCAGGAAGCTCTTGAAAGATAGAAGTAAATGTTTGAATTTACTTAAGAAAGTTTTGAATTTCACAAAGATCACAGAAAATACTATTGGTACAACTTTGGTTACTAAAGGTATGGTAAGTTTAATGCACATCAAGATAGGATTTCCTAAAGAAAATGCTGGTGTGACACTGTTTGCCATGTACAATTTTTATGGAACATTAAATAACATCATAATGAAGAACTGTATTACTAGGGGATTGTTAAAAGCTATTGTCTTAGTGTATGTTGAAAACTGAAGATTATAACTGAAGGAAGCTGATCTTGAGACACTAGATGTCAGATAATAATGGATGCCAGATTGTAATAATTGAGAGTTGTAAAATATGTAGGGCACTTCTCAATCTTATACTAATTCAGCTTGTAGCTTTTTTTTTCATATGTATGACTGTATCTTTGTCCTTACTTATTTGCCAGTTTTGGAGCTAGTAGGACCAAATTAGCAAAGGCAGAGTTGAGGTGGGTTGGTGGGTACTTACCTATATGGCATAACTCTCCTTACTAAGGTTAACTAAGATGTGCAAAGAAGGGTTCCAAGGCATGATATGAGTCTAAAAGGATGTTTTTAAGGATTACTGAAACCATAAATGGCATTATTCCTGGCTCTCCTCTGGACGTTGTGGGCACCATGTTTGAAACTCTAGTAACACTCCTACTCACAAGCTAACAGAACCAAATGTGGCACATGTGCTCAGGTATTATGGGCAGGTGTGTTAATAGGTTTTCTTTCAGGTGCAGACCCTTTCTTGGGATAGTTGTAAAAGTAATTTGGAGTAATATAAGTGCTTGATTGGTACATTAGGGTCTTTGAACCCTGCAAAGGAGTTTGGGTATTTTTTGATAATTATATGTAAATCTGTAAAAATTTGGGAGACGAATACTTTATATCTTGTCAAAGCTGAACATTTGTTTTATCTAAGCAAGTGAAAAATAACATTAGTTAACTGAGAAGACCTTCTGCACATCAGGACTGCCTTTTCTGAAATAAAATTATCCATTATCCTAATTGCAACTGCATTGCATTTTAGAGTGAGATAAATAACATGAAGTAAATGAAGTAATTTGAAAATTACAAAAGTATTCAGCTTCAAATTACTTGATATAATATTAGTATTTACCATTTTCAGATATATTCTAATAGCTGTTTAGAAATCATAATACTTTAAATTAAGCCTTATTTGTTTTTCTTTTTTATTGTCAGAAACTAAATTATAAATGTCTGGATGAAACAGAACACACTTCAGGTTCACACTGTAGTGCTTATACATACTCAAGGATGGAGTAGTTAACATACTTTCAATGATTAGAACAACCTGTTGGTTTTTCAGTTTCTTTGTCATTTGCAGTTAATGCATGATAGATCATCACAGAAATAGGAAATTTCGGTGTTGACCTAGACACTAATGAATTTAATGTGTTACATTATTCATTATATTTAATTTCTCGCAATGTAATGTTTTGAACTACAATTATTATAATAATAATTCATATTTTGATTTTACTCTGTGTTGCTTAATATGTTAGAATATCTTGGCTTACCTTGCAGCTTTTTGTGTTATTAAGTGCTATAACATACAAAATCTCAACTGTTGACCCAAATAATAAATATGAATATTAATTTTGCTACAACTTTGTGTATTTGTGTTCAAAAAGTTCTTTTTATTGGGCTATCAAGTAAATAACACAATTTCTCAACATCACTATCGTGTACATTTTTACTTTGATTACTTTTGTTCTATTCACATGGCAACATTCTTTAAGCATGGTTGGGGATGTAGATAACCAGTAGAATTGATGTTCAGTTCCATTATCAATTGAGATCCACAGAAACATCTATCTTATCATGTTAGTTGAGCAAGTGTTAGTAGCTACATATCTAGCTATCATTATAGAAAAATACAAGGACATTAAAACAGTTATTCAGTATTAAATTTTATTTATATAGTTTAAGTAAGACTGAAACCTTTTTTGTTTTACTATTCTACAGTTAATACATGTAAAATGCATATACTTGTATATTGTATATTTAATGTTAATACATAGTAATGGGAGTTTTTTCTTTTAAACAGTGAATTAAAGAAACTAAGTGAAGAAAGCTTAACAAGGCAACCTGAGGAAGTTTTTGACGTTATCTGTAAGCTAGGAGAAGGGTAAGTTTGTTTTATTCACAAGGAAATATAAATGTCAATTTTAGATGTGAAGGTCTAGTTAAAATGTTTTCTTCAATAAAAAAAATTCTACATTATTACAACATGCCAAGAATTTAAAAAAATATATTTTGTAGAACTGATATCACACAGATACATGCACAAAATGTTTAAAAAATATTATTTTGTAAAAGAAAATAACACAAAGTGTGCCAGTAAATTTTACCATAATGTATTTTTTCCTACTTCTCCAGAACTGTGAATTTCAATAAGTAGAAGGCTGTAAAGTAAACATAGATATAATATTAAAATTGATATATGATGTAGAACTGGGTGATTAACCCTATCATTATGGGTAGGTCAAAGTGTGCATATCATGACATTTTACAGAGTTACTTTCAAACTTTAGATAAACTACTTTATTATTAATGTATACAGTTAACTTGGCAATGAAATATAGTTAATAAATCATATGCAAATATTTAAATAAAATCTCAATTTCAACCTAAATGCCCATCCTCTATGTTGTTCATCACTCTTCTCTGATGTCCTGAGTATAATGTAAATTATTCAATTTAGTATAGATGTTACCAAAGCAAGTCTGATTTTTATAGATTTCAATCTTCTTTGGTTTTGGAGGTATAAACTAGAAAGCCTGATTTACTTACCACACCCACCTGTCACATCCTCTCATAAATTGCCAATAATTTTCCCAGATGTTTTCTATTACATTGTTTGTAATCAACAAATAGGCACAATTTAATTTACTTATTGATGTATAATACTATGTTGTTTTCAATAGAGATTTGTAGTCTACAGGCTGGAAGTTAAAATTGTTAAGTTCAGAGCGAGTAACTACGGGAAGTATTTTAAGACACTTATGCCTTAGTTATAACTCCAGTTAAATCATAATAGTTATAGTACATTGTTTATTTTGTGCATGTTATTATTTTGTGTTCTTAAGTGCATATTTGAAATAAGTAAAAATTATTTAATGATGTGCTATTACAAAGAAAGGTTGGCTTAAGTTTTATTGGTGGGCCGACAGCAAGAAGATGAGAGGCCAAACATAAGGATTAAATTTCTTGTTTTTTATGTATTTTTTCTATTTGTTGTTATAAAAGTAATAAAAACATAACACTTAGAAACGTATCTGGTAAGATAATAAAAAAACAACATTTCTCCATGAGGTTTGCGTGCAAGTAGCTCATGCATTATGTCTTTCAATAGTGTAACTTGAACTCCGTGTTTGCTGTGTGACTTATAGCATGAATAGTGGGATTATTAGTTAGACATGGTTCAAAGGGTAATAAAACAATTAAAATTAAGTATAAACAAACATAAGCTATTATGAGCCTTAAGCTGTTTTAAAATAAATAACTAATTTTCTGTTATGCAGTCATTCTAGAAAGAAAGAAAAATGTAATTTAGATTTATTTTGTATTTTTCTATGGTGTTTACCAGGTTAATTTGATTGAGTCTGTATAGAGTTAATGTAAATAAATTAAGAGATAAAATATAAAGATTTGCTAAAAAAAAAACATTTGATATTCATATAGGAGGTTATGCAAATGAAATTTGAAAATTGTAAGGTGAAAAAGTATCTTAAATTCTTTAACATGAAAATCACCTTGCACTCAGACCACTCAACACACTGATTTGGATATGATTATTTACCTCCCTTCACAGATACAACTCTTCTCAATTTGACTACCCTGTAGTGTGCATGTCTGATGTTTTATTCCAGATACTGCAAGTTCTGGACTGGATTTTTCCATCTATTTTGCAGTTTGCCCTCCAACTGGGAACCCTACCTCCTACTGCCTATTGGATGTTTGTTTCTAGACAACTGGTTTTGGTTGGAGTTGGACCAACCACCATAAGTCCTCACATGTGAGTGGGCTGGTAACTTCCTCTTACCACAGACTGGATGTTACATCCCCAATGCTGATTGGTTTTGAACTGGAATTGACCATCCATGTTACATTTCCAACTTCCTGACACTGTCTGGATGTACATTCCAGAGGTTTCTTGCAGCATGTTGTGCTGTATTTGTGCACATGGTGGTTTAAGTTTTCGGAACAGAGGCTCCTCTTCTATTCTGGTTCCTAGACCTTAGGTGGATGGTTGAGGATCCTCCTCTTACCATGGACTGGTCAAGTTCCTATCTGTGCCATTGTTATGGATTGGAGTTGACCTTTTGCTAATGTCTAATATGCCCTAGCCACTCTGCACACACTCCTCATTTCTCACGAACTGGGGGGGTGGAGGTTCGCTCTTGGTTGAGGCTGTTTGTGACCTTATCTGTAGTGAGATAAAGACCTACATTTGATCTGGTGGTGTTTCTATTGGTAGCTCTGAGGCTGCACTTGCGGGTGATCCTGGACATTCTGGAGAGAATTTAGATCTCCTTTACTCTGTCAGTTTCTCAGGAGGATAATTTGGATCAGCCACCTCTGGCTCCTTTTCTTCCATTGGTATTTCAAGTGCGTAATGTTTCGGGTCTTGTCCCGGTTGCTTTTGAGTCTGCACCTTCCTTGATGGTGGAAAGGTCTGAGGGCAAGTACTTACTTTTCTCTCCATCCTCTGATATTGTGGTTCATGAAGAGAGGTTTACTGCTCAATTATATGAAGGGACAGCTATGCCTTGTCCACCATGTTTGTCATAACAACATACTTTAGGCTATCACTGCCAGGTTGAAGCATATTTACTCTCAGAGGATAGACCCACTCCTGGAAATGTGGGGTTCCAGAATGAAGTCTTTGGTCATCCTGAATAGATCACAATTTTTTAGGATTTGTTGTACCCTAGCTATGATGCTAAGATATATATCAACCCTACAACTTTTTTCAGAAGCCTCTCAGTGATTGCCATATCAATTTGATGACGAGTTGGGACCACTATTAGCATCCATCTTGGTTTGATCATCATCTTCTGCACTTTCCCTAGTATCTTGGCTGGTATGTTGTTGGGATTTGTTGGGTAGAGATGCATTATTGGAGGGTGTTCATCTACCAGCTGCTGCCCTCCATTATGAGACCTCTTTTCTCCAACCACTGATTTTTGCGGGTGTTCCATAGGCTTTGGAATCAAGGGTTGATGTTGCTCATCTGCATTCATTCCTGTCATCATTGACTTCTCAACTTTCCTTGGCTCCCACAGGGGGTCATAGTTCTGCCTCTACCCCCGACATCAGCCCCTTGGACCATTGGTACCCAAAATAGATTCCTCCCATATCCAAGAGGTTCCTTTGCTGGGTCAAAACACTGCCAAAGGTGGTGGTAACTACTGTATGCTTTTTGGGTCCATAGGTGCTTAGCTCCGAGAATTTTTGGACATATAGAAAACACTTACCATGGATCCATGGGTGTTACAGGTCCTAGCATCAGGATTGGTCATTCAGTTCACAGTTCCACTACCATTATCTTTCCAACCTGTAGTGTTTCTGCCTCCCACAGATCTTCGGATTTCGGAACTTCATTTCACAGCTATCAGAGATTTGTTAATTAAGGGTGCAGTAAAAAGAGTTGTTCCTGTTCTTCCAGGGTTTTACTCCTATCTGTTTCTTGTGTTAAGAAAATGGGAGATTGGCATCCAGTCATTGATCTTTCTCATCCAAATCAATTCCTAGATCCTCCAAAGTTCACAATAAAGTCATTCCGGACTCTGCATTGGCATTTTTTCCCCATGACTTTGGATGACCAAGTTCGATGTTAGGAACACCTATCTGCATGTTCCCATAGCGGAGCTGTCCCACCACTATCTGCATTTTGTGCACAAGGGTCAGGTCTCTGTCCTTTGGACTAGCATTGGCACCATGTGTGTTCTGCCAAATTGTATGAATTTTTTCTCCTCACCGCCATTCCCTGGGCCTGTGCACACACCATTACATGGATGACTGGTTACTGTTTGCACAATCTGATCAGTTGGTGGAATATCACACCCAGATTCTGCTTTCCAAAGCAACCAAGGCAGGATTTCTTATCAGAGCCAAGAAATCTATTCTCACTCCAACATAATATATCATCCGTATGGGTGTCTTTTTCAATACATTTCAGTCGGGCTTAGCTGACTCCTATCCAGCTCCACACTATGGAACAGGCAGTCCAACTCTTTCTCACTTCTCCTGTTCCCACTGCACGGGTGGTTCTTTCTCTTTTGGGAATATGAGCACACATGTGATCCCTTCAGTGGTCTCCATTCGACCTATGAATCATGAACTCCTTATTCAGGAACAACATCTTTGACCTCGACTGGTGGTTAGATTGGAACAATACTGTGATAGGTGTTCCTCTGCTGCCACCTTGTCCAGAGATCCAGCTTTTTACAGATGCCTTGCTTCAGGAATGAGGTGCATATCTCAATGGTCAGAAATTCCAGGGTCTGTGGAAGGATGACGAGGCTTCCCTCCACATCAATGTTTTTGGACTTCTTGTTGTTCAAAGGGCAGTGTCTCAAGGTATGAAATTACTGAGGGACAGAGTTGTCATGCTTCATTCCAACAATTCCATGGTGGTGTCTTACATTTCCCCTTACTTTTTTACAGGATCCTACTCTAGCGAGTGTTGCCAGGTGTGCTTTTATCAAACTAAATCTGTACTAACACAATATACTTTATCTAGGTTGCAACAGGCTCTGTAGAAATGAGGCAGACCAGGGGGTATTACTGTACTATGCTTGACCACCACTCATGAACTATCATGAGTAAAGCACATAGGGATCCTGTTCGTTCCTACTGATCAGTGAATTCCATAAATGAGGGTCAGTTTGCTTTTATAAATTTAGGGAACTTGGTTCACCTACTGCACTGTTTCCAGAGCATTGTTGCTCAGGACTCCCCAATGCACATTAACCTCCCCTCATATTCTACTAGTGGAGCTAAGGAGCCCTTACCACTCCTGGTTTCTAGTCACTGGAGTGGTGGACAGAGGTTATTCCTCCAGAGTATTTGAGTTACTTTCCTCCACTCTTGGGGAAGAGGGCAAAGTTTTTCTTTTTTGATCAATATTGGTTTAGTACATTGCTCATGGAGGAGGGTCCATTGTTTCCTCATAATTCCGAATGCAGAGTGATCCAATCCTGGGGCTTGGATGAGTACAGTTTGTTCCACATTCTCCCCATAATTCTGGGGGCAAGTGGAATTTACTTTGCCCACATGGTTGGGGAGCGAGGATGAGCGTTAATAATTCCAGACCGGATGAGTTCTGTTTCCTCAGGTTGAGTATGACATACAGGATCCTGTCATTCTGAATTTGGAGTTTTGCCTTTTGTATTCTTCAGGTTGAGGAGAGGGTTTGTCCACTTTGGTGTTGCTTGCTTTCTCGTCGTGATTCCGGCAGCTCGGAACACATCACTCTATAGCTACAGGTTGGGATCCACTCACACACACACACACACACATATATATATAGCATTCCAAGTGCCTTAGCCACCAGCGTGGAATTCAGGGGCCATTGCCCTATAATTCCTACTCCGAGCAGTGGGATCTTGGCTTCCTGGTTGGGGTCTGGCCAATGGTGGTGACGGATCATGTCAAATTCCACCCACAGTGCATGATTTAGATTCTGGGTGAAGAGTATATCAGTTCTGGATGTAGTGCGGTTCTCCCACTAGGGTGCTAATCTTCTATTTCTTTTGGCACACCCATGACCTATGCAAATGCATTCTGTATGGATAATGCCCTCACTGGCCCCTCTGTCTTTTCAATGTGGGATTTTAGCTGTAGTATGAGCAGAGGAAAGTATGTTTTGGAAGTTAACATTTTCTTAAATAGAAAATGTATTTCCAATAATACTTACCTCCTGTTACACTCTCCCACCCTTCCTCTCCACTAAGAGCCGGAGCTAGAGACTGTAACTTGGGTCAGTCTCGAAAAATGACAATATTCTCTGAAGGAGGTGCATATATGCAGTACCAGGATAGAGAGCGCATTGACATAGGTGGAGAATATCTTGAGATAGATATCACCAAGGGCAATTAAGTGGGGAATAAAAGACTGGACCAAGTGAGAAAAAATCACACTAATGCTTAGATGAGCAAAGGAAAAGAAACCCTAATAGTCAAGTAGTAGCTGTAGTGTGAGAGGAGGTAAGTATTATTGGAAATACATTTTTGGTTTAAGAAAATGCTAACTTAAGAAAATTGAGGAATAGAGAAGGAATAGTTGTCAACCCTCAAAATTGGGGAGGACACCATGATTGATTGAATATAGGCATTATTTTATAGGTCGTATATCAGAGATTATTAAGCTCATGTTTTTACTGTACATTTTTGTATCATATACATTATCTTAGAAGTTTTACTCAAGGTTTTCCCCAGGAGTTAGTTCAGTGTTCTTAAGCAATATTAACCCTATTTTAAAAATGATACTACATTGTTTACCAACTACATGTTATTGCTTTTTAGGGGTTACACTAGTCTTTATAAAATGTGTGTACCTTTTGTAAGAGTCATGGCACTGTTTATACACTACATTTACCTCTCTTAGTTGGAGCTGTATAAACCACATTTCCATATTTTAGGAAGTACATCTGTATATATAAACTACATACCATTATTAGTAATCACATGTTTATGTTGCTAAAGCACATGTATTTTTCTCTTTAGGAGTTATGGAAGTGTTTATAAAGCTCTTCACAAGGAGTCGGGTCAGGTATTGGCTATCAAACAAGTTCCTGTTGATACAGATTTACAAGAAATCATCAAGGAGATCTCTATTATGCAACAATGTGATAGTCCATTTGTAGTCAAGTACTATGGAAGTTACTTCAAAGGAACTGATTTATGGGTAAGCTTAGAGTATTTATGTTACACAGTTGAGATTGTTTTCATTCTGAATTTGCCAGTATGATTTGCTTAGTGGAAAAATATTACTCTGTTAATTTCGACCACTTAAACCCCTTAGCTATTATACAGAGGAACAAATTTTATCTTCCTGAAAACAGTACTTTTGCTGAAAACAAAATCAGAAACTACAGCTATGGAGAAACAATAAATTTTTGCAATAGAATTGTCAACTGAAATTTTGTAGTGATAAATTAAGAAAGTAACTTAAAGTGCTTTTGTAGTGGTATATTAATAAGATAAACATACTTAAAGTGCCATGATGTTTAATTAATGTCTTCCAGTTTTATTTATTTTGTATTTCACTAGGACATAATTGTTGATGTTTTATACTGAGTTCCCCAATAATTGTTAAAAATGTTAAATTAAACATATATATTTATATATCCATTTATGACTATGGATGACTGACTGGAAGTGAAAGTAGATGCATTAAATGATTGTTATTATATATACATATATATGAATACTACTTACCTTCTTTCATTTGAACTTACAAGTTTTCAAGCATTTTTAAAAGCTTCTTATCATGTTGAATATCTAACTTAATTAACAAAAGATTCTTTGAAAGAAAAGAATAAATGTACTAGGGGGGGGGGATACAAGTACATCTTGGTGATTAGGGGAATTTTATAATTGACTAATCACCAGGCTTGTTAATCTGTTGAATTGACTTGTATATTATTCTCAGGAGACTTGAATAGTTGAAATAATCAAAAATAGTAATCATCACAAACACTAATTTTGATTAGTTGATTATTTTCCTGATTCAAGGTCTGTTTTGAAGGATACCCATTTTTATTTAAATGCTCTTTATAAGTGTTTTAAAGTGAATCATGAGTTCAAGGGTCCTGGTGGTTAAGTAGCTGATAAAACCTTGTTTGATGACTGAAAGTTGGCATGAGATGAAATAAATATTCTAATCACCGTGTTATTTTTGTGTTTGTTTAAGCAGATTTTGACCATTATTTTTAAGTAAAACATTCAGAAATAAAAGTTATTTTTTAGTTATAGGAAAAAAAAATGGATAGAGTAACACTGATTCAGTTAATTAAGAGGACCTTATATATTTCACTCAAGGTCTTGGATAACAAAGACTATCATTAAAGAAACACATATTTTGTAGATAATAGGAAATAATGAAGAACCAATAAAGATACTGTCTGTAAGTTTGTACGTGTTTTTTTTTTTAAAGAAAGTATGGTGCAAATAGACAAAAATCAACAGCTTCATAATGAAGGAGGTAGACAACATTGGCTGCAAATGTGTCATTATTTTCATTTTCTTGGAAACTGATGAAGTAACGAAGTGTCTTTCAGTATGATATATCCTAATTCAAGATGCTGATGTTTATTAGTCTATGAAAACTTCTAATTTTTTTCTTGGCTGATTGGAAATACCATATACCATCAGCAAGGTTGTAACTGAGGGGACAGACATACTGGTTGCAAAATTGTCTTCTGAAAAAAAAACAAGTGAACTATAAAGCACAGCTTTAAACACAAGAAATTATCCAGTCATACTTAGTTTTAGTTATATTTTTATATTTGGAAAGAAGTCATTTAACTCTTTCAATATGAGGTCGATCAATGTGATGACCTCGTAACCATTTTGTGCTTGTTATAGTTTTCATGTTATAGCTTTTAAATTAGTAAGTGAATGTTAACAAAATTTGGCAGATCATCAGTAAACATTACAGTGCTTTCATATGCAAAATATCAAATTTTTTATTAAGTCCTATGGTTTGTAAAGCAATGTATCTCTCATGCCTTTTTTTTTCTTTTCACATCTTGCCTATCTATCATACAAAGTAATTTTTATTTTAAGATTAAAAATATTTTTCTGCATCAGAAAATTTTCAAATTTCATATTCGAAATCTTTATAATGTCCAGACAGTTATCAGACGTTTCTTAAGAAAAACTATATTTTATCTGTTATTTTCAGTAATGAATCTCTGTACGGGTTCGGTAGATTTGAACGATCTTGCAACCACCATAAAAAATTAGGAAATAAACATAAATTATGCCACTTTCATTGTAGAATGAACCCAAATTATAACACAAAAACATAACTGTTTAGACAAAATACCTTAAATCTCATAATATTATACATTTATATATATATTTATTATTATATTGACCTTTCACTCGTGCCTGGCTAACTATACAGAAGCTACAAAGATGCAGCTCATGTGCATTTATGTTACTGTATCAAATAACATAAAACTGACTTTCAGTCTATACAAAGTAACTTGTCTCGGCTATGTTTTAGTCAAGTAGTATTTTGTAAAATACAGTCACATTTCAATTATTATTATATATATATAGATTATTGCTATTTTGAAATAAGTTCTTAAACATATTTTTCCTAAAACATAGCAAATAGTAAACATAGTGGAGGATATGAAACAAAGTTTTTTTTTAGATTTTATATATACATTTGAATAACTAAAAAAATCATAAATTACATATCAATACCATAGAATTCCACTATAATTTATCAAGCTTAGTAACTAAGATGTATTTTACTCTCAAAAAAATATGAAACCTCGATCAGTCTAAAAACACAACCTACCTCATTGAAATCTTGGTTCAAAAGAAAGAAATGGTGCTAGCCATGTTAAAAAGGCTAAGAAAGCCACTAGGGGGACATTCTGAGCTTCTGATTGGTTATTCATGTCATATAGAAGGAAGGGTATATAATGGAGTGTTTTCAAAAATGGAAAGAAGTGGGCTGGGTGCCACTGTGTATGATTTATTACATGAGCAATATCTTAGCAAATTGAAAAGATAAGACCTTATTTTATATTCTAGGTTGTCAAGATCTGTAATTTGAGTTTCTAATTCGTA